TTAAAAAACTTTTTTGAATTATTAAATTATTATTTTTTCTAATTAGTAATGATCTTTTTTTAAATTATTTTTTTTTTATTTAAATTAAATACACTTTATTTTATTTATTAAATTAAACACTTTATTTAACACTTTATTTTATTTATTATATTAGTTAAATTAATCATTTCATTATTTATTAAATTAATTACTTTATTATTATATTTATTAAATACTTTTTTTTTATTTTTATTTATTAACATTTTTTATTAAATTAATTACTTATTTATTAAATTATCATTTTTATTTATTTATTTATTTATTTAATCATCTTTTTTTATTTTATTTTATTTTTTATTTATTAACTATTTTTTTTAATTAGAGATTAATCAAAATGCCAGAAGTCTCTTACCTTAACAAATGAAATACAATCTCTGCAGCAATTAATGAGTTAAACAGTTATTCTTTGGTACTAAATGCCCAAGTGTAAATCATGTAACAAGAAACTTTGGGTTTTCTAAAACTACTCTTTGATGTGCAATCAAGAAAGGTGGCCCTTCAAATCATCGGGGTCTGTTTACAATTCTTACAAAACATAAGGAAAACCAACTTGTTAGATATTGCATAAACATGCAACAGCTTGGATTTGGTTTAACTAAATCTGGAGTAAACCATTGCATAATGGAAATAATTCACTACAATAAACAACTATATCTATTCGGAGATAAAGGGTCAGGTCGAGACTGATAGACCTATTTCATAAAACAACATTCTGAATTATCATTTTGTACCCCTCAAAAATTATCTGAAGCTTATGCACAAAGAGCCAATCCAATAATCATTAAAGACCATTTAATAAACTTAAACAAATAATTAACAAAAATTCACTTACAGCAACACAAATTTGGAATATGGATGAAACTGAGTTCGTTCTTGTATCTAAGCTAGAAAAAGTTATTGCAAAAAAAGGCTCACGTCAGGTCCATAAAGTTGCATATAGGAACTCTCATGAGCATATTTTAGTTGCACTAACAATCTCAGCCACTGGCTTATACATTTCTCCTTTAGTTATCTATAAAGTAAGTATGGTAAAAAAAAAAACAGTTTAAACCATGTGATGATTAAAGTCTGAATACTCTATTTTTAATTACATTACAAAAAACATTTACTATCTCTACTATAAAGGTGTTTACGCAATTTCTGGTTTGCTACAAAGTGCATCTCCTAAAGCAGTAATGGGTTTTACAGATATTAGGTATATGCATAAGGACCTTTTCCAAATGTACCTTACCTATTTTACTAACTTAATCTCTTCAATTTAACTAGTTTTACTAATGCTTGATGGTCATAAGAGCCATATTAGCTATATGTGCATCGATTTTTGTTGCCAAAATAGAATACTTTTTTATATACTTTTACCTTACACAACTCATATTTTACAACCGTCCAAAATTCCTTTTGCAAAATTGAAAAAGGAATTTGGAAAATAGTGTAATAAATATCACAATACTACTAGCAAAGTAGTAACAAAATACACCTTCGCAAAACTTTTTGGACCAGCTTTCATTGAGACTTATGCACTGTCTGCTATTTGTAATGCTTTTAAAGCTACAGAAATATGGCTGTTTAACCTCAAGACCATTAGTCCCAATCATTTAAACCCCTCACTAGCAACAGAACAATTTGATATTGTACCTTTTCCTAGCCAGTCTTCAAAACTGGTTATGTTTTCTCTACAATCAACTACTAAACTAAATCATTCTCATTATATCTGCATAAATTTTACCTAGTTAATATTAGAAAATAAGATGCTTAAAAATGAAATTGAATCACTAAAAGTTCAACTTACAGCAACCCAAAAAGAATTAGGAACCTATAAAAGTCCTGGAACAAGTTTTTTATACTCAGTTTTCAAGTACATCCCTTATGTTCTGCAAGCTGGACCTTTGGATACTTCTTCAATAAACCAACAAGAGCCTGGTCCTTTTCCTAAAAAAAGAACGATGCTTCCATTTGCATAACTTCTTACTAATGATAAAAGTTGGCAGAAGTTGAAAGAGACAAATGAACAAGTAGACAGAAAAGTTGAAGAGGTGCAATGAAAAAAAGTGTTGGCAGCCCAGAAAAAAATTGAACAACAGCAAAAATTAGAACAAAAAAAGTAAGAGCGTAAGTAAAAAAAATAGAAAAAGAAATGCATAAAGGTAAAATGCAATAAAAATAGAATCACTATTAAAAAGTTTATTGTTAGTTAGGTTAAATATATATCATTCAATAAAGCATTAAACTAAAAAAAAAATTTAAAAATTATATAATTTTTAATTTCGGAGATCTGTTAAAACAAATCAAGTTTGATTGCCTAATATAGTGTAATACAAGTTAATAATTTTAATTATTAACTATCATATAGCATGAACTAAAATACCTGTACTTTACAATTTAAGCAGTATATATGAGTATTATAGTTGGAGAGATACTATGGTCAGCATGGGAGTATAAGTTGCACTATATGAGTGCTACAGTAATATTTGAATATTTGTAATCAAACTGAAACTTCAATGATAAATTTTTTATAAATTGATTCTGCCATGCTTTCTTATTAGTTTTAACAATAATTTTACTATATATTCCCAAATGCAATTAACCAATCCTTAGTACCTAGGAGTACTTTACATTCCAAGTGCTATTATTTTCAATTTATCTATCTCTAGTACCCTGAGTACAATACATTCTAGGCTGCTGAAAATCATAAAAGGTATTATAAAAGGAGGGTTTTTTAGTTCATGCTATATGGTACTTGAGCGAAACTTTAAGTCAAAAAAACTAATGTTTTTTATTATGTAGTCACTTTATTCTATATAAAAATTAAAAATTTAATATACTAGCTTTGCATTATTAACAGAATTGCTCCTAAGACAGGTTAGTAGAACAACTGGATCTGACTGGATGTCAAATGTGAATATTAAAATTAAGTTTTTAAAGTACAATGGTTTTTAAAATACAATCTGATAAAATTTTAAACCATATCGATATTATAAAAAAGAAAATTCAAATTGAAAGTTTTATTATAAACAATATAAAAAAAAATCAAATAATAGTTTTTTTTAATGCCAATACATTTATATAATGATCTATGTGCTACATAAATTATATTTTTGATACCTATATAACCTGTTAACTATAACTGAATTAAAAAAGTAACCCTAACTGGTACCTGGCCCCAATTCATTACAATACCTCCCACCCTTCCAAAATTCAATTTTTTGTATCCCATGTACGAATCGATTATTATGCTCCAAACTGGTACTGTACTTTGATAATTTATACTAAATCTATTCTAAAATAAGTGTTATGTATATTCTAAAAAAAAAAAATTAGTTGATATATAATAAAGTATAAAATTTTACTAATAACAACTTTAACTTCATTACAATACCCTATTTTACCTTATATATTTTTTTAAATATTAAGATGAGTATATGTGAGCCAAGATTTTATTAGTAGTATCAGTTGGCTAGCATCTGTTAATATAATAGTACAGAGGTAATTATAGAAAGAGTATACAACTAACCACTTGTATAACTTTAGTTATTGTCTAATTTAAGTAGTTTGCTTGAAGGTTTTATACTAGTTGTTATATTTAGAACTTATCTGTAGATTCTTTATTTAAACACTTTAATCTCATATCTACTACATCCTACCAATGACTCTGATAAACTAGTAAAGATATATTATAGTTACTAAGTTATGTTTAACTTTGTACTAAATTTACTGATGTGTTCTGTATTCTATATTTATAGCTCACCTGATATTGCTTTGGCCTAAACTATCACTTGCAGTCAGGACTAACTATTAAACTACTATACTCTTTTAAGGTTTATCCAAAATCCTGATATCCATCTTTCTGATAACTTTTTTATTGTTTCCTATTAACTACTACTCAGAACCAACAGAACTTCTTAGACTTCTAATTCAAATAGCCTAATATGATATACTTTAATATTCTTTTCTTTTAGTAATTCTGGCAGTCTGATTGGTCATATGCTCCTCTATACATCTTGTCATCTAGTTTATTCATCTATTTTTTTGAAAGTGTTTCATGAGCTTTTATTAGTCTAACAACACCATTAAAGGTTTTGTAATATCTTTTTATTTGAGATTTCCAAGTAGGTTTCTGACTCTTTAGTTTTTTTGCTTTTCACACTTAGTGGTCTTATCTAAGTTTGTTCAAAGTTTTATGCAACACTAGTTATTAATATTTCTCTATATAGGTGTAATATTACACTTAGCATAGATGTCCCAAGCTTCTATTCAAGATAGTGTAACTAAAGGTTACAAATACACTAATTCAACTAATCAACAGTGACAGTTATTATAACACAGAACAATTTTTAAAATTCATCATTTATAAGATTTGAACTCTAGACCTATTACTTGGGAATTGACAACCTGACCACTTCACTAGATTGTCATATCTCTAATTAATATATTTTTAAATAATATATAAAATATATTATATATAAGTATTATTAATTTTATTATATAAAATTATTAAGATACCAATTATTTAACTCTTCCTATAGATTACTAAAACCAACTTTTCTCTAACAAACAATTTAATTTTTTTTAATATTTTACTAAACTAACAACTCTTAAACTTCTAATTAAACTTTTTTCTTACAACTTTCTGTCCTAAAAACAAT